TTTTTTTTTTTTTTTATATTTATTCGCTGACTCTGTGCTTGTGCTGCGTTCAGGTGCTCTTGTAGATTCGCAGTATTCTTCAGACTCTTGGTTTTCCTTCCCTTTTCTGCTTCCTCTATACACATGACTTAAACCACAACATCTTTTTATAACGCATATCCAAATTCTAGGTTATAAACAAACCTCATATTTAATCTAAAACACACACTTGTAACATTTTTTTTATTTTGAATTTAACCATCTGATTCATAATTTAATACAACTATCCTACTGCTGTGTTTATCATTACAGTTTATAACGATGGACAAAGTAAAGAAAGTTGTTGAACCCTTTCTGTTGCGGAATAAAAGTTGTTTTCTGATTCAGATGTGTCATTATTTGAGCTCAAGAAGCTCTAAATCCCGAGCTGTACGTCGGCACCTGAAGGCAACAGGTTGCATACGTCGTGATGAACCTTCCAGACCTGCTCAATCAAACGTCAATAAAACGATCCAAGAAAGGACAGACAGTTCAATTTATTTAAAAATCTCATTAGTTTACATCATCTAAAGTAACTTTACACGTTCGAGCAGAAACACAGACATAAAAACTTATTCAGTGTTGTTTGTCAGTGTTTTTTTCTGCTGATTCTTTACTGCAAATCAGATATTTATGCATCTAATTTCATCAGCGATCACAACTTCATCACCTGAGGAACTATTGGTGAAACCAGCTGCTGTAGTGTAGTTTGAAGAAATTACATCCTTTATAGAAAAAAAACACTGAGTTGGTCTTTAAACATTATGCAACAATTTCTACTTGCTCATTAATAAAAATAAAAGGTGTAATAATTAATTCAATGTTGATGATTCACTGTATATGCAACAATTAAAGACGGAAAATTAGGTACATGGAGTGTGTATCTAAGGCAACAATTTACCAGTCTTTTCACAGTGTCATTGTATCTCACCATCTCACCATAAAAATCATCCCTGTTTGAACTTATTGTTCATTGACTGAACAGGTAGAGGCACCACAGACCACTTTGCATACAAACAAAACAAGCATGCAAGGAGTCCTGTGCTCCTCAGGCAAAAGAGTTGTCGTCCCAGACAAAGTTGTTGGTTTTAGGAGCTCTCAGAGACTAAAAAGTAGGAGATATTATAAGCTAAAGACAATTTACCTGAGGATCTGCCTCCAATCATTAATCATAACATCATTAGGAGGTTTATTCTGCTTTCTAAAAACTGACACACTGCACTAAAACAGCATGTAAATACTTTTATCTGCATTTAACAACACATGAATTAAAAATATATATTTCACATTTGTGTGATTGTGACACTGCTGCAGTAAGAGCGTAGTACAAGAACATTTAATTGATTGATTTCATCTTCAAATCTGACCTCAAACTGTGTGATAACGGATGAAAACGTCCAAATATCATTAAAAAATCAGAAGGAATTAAAGATGTTTTGCCACTTTTTCAGGAAGCTTTCAGTCACATCTCATTAAGCACTTGGATGATCGGCTACAAAATGAATCTCCACAGAGATTTAACATCCTTTCACTCAGCATTTTCCACTAATAAACGTCACTCACTCAGTCATCAAAGCATCTAATCTGTTCCTTGCTGTGAGGTGAAGACTATGTGCCGTCTGTCTGGTAGCTGTCGCCGGCGTTCATCTGCATCAAACCAATCACAGACGAGACGGTGCCCATCAGCCCCACCAGCCAGTTGGGGAATCGTCCTGCCCACAGGAAGCCGGGCGGCATCCAATGAACGGCATTACTGAGGTCGGCCATGCTGCTGAGGACGGAGAGAAGCTCCCCTCGCATCTGTCTGCGGAGCTGAGAGCGACTGCAGGAAGAAAACACATTTAAATCAGGATGAGTACGTTTCCACCAGAGAACGACGTCTCACAGTGCAGATACAAACAGATACCTGCTGCCACCTCTGTCCTTCTTCAGCTTCTTCTTCAGGAGCAGCAGAACTCGGAGGGATCTGAAGAGCAAAAGATTCAACTCAGACAGACTTTTCTGTATCTGTATATATGTACATATATTTTATTTTCCATACTAATAAAGCCCCTTTGAATGGAATTGAATTGCTTCAGAAGTTATTCTGTTAAGTTTTTAATCAGCATTTAATGTACTTAAAAGGATAAGGCTCGAATTATTCTATATCTTTCTTAATGTCAACAAATCCCACAAAAAAAAACAAACAACAACAACGTGTTTGTCCATCTTTCAACATCCCAGTTTACTTTTCCTCACAGTGACACTCAACCCCAAGCCCACTGGTTCCTACTGAAGACACAAACATATAGTTTCATCCTTAAAGGATAACGTTGACATAAATGTTTGTCCCCACGGGAATATTGTCACATCTCACTCTGTGAATTAGGGTTTATTTAAGACTAAGAAAGTCGGTTTTGATGTGTTTTATATTATTTCTGTGATGATATATATATATATATAACTTTTAAAGATTTAAAGAAGGCTCAGTAATTTTCTCACTGTAGTTTTTAGCAATAGTGACTCCAACAGAATGTGTGTATATCTTGGGGACTATTTTCAGCTGCGGATGAATATACACTTTGTGCTCTGGTGAGTTTTTACATCAGCAGGTTGGTGTATGTGTGACTGACTGAAAATAAACAACAGTATGTGTTCACGGTAATAAAGGAACATGTCACCCAGCAACCGAAGCTCTGCGGCACAGAGGAATATAAAGGTATATTACACTTTATCTACACAGGAAATACCTGTTAGAAGGATCAACTCATTGTTTGTTTTATAATTTTCCAGCCTTATATTCAGTGTGCTAATTAATGACTTCTGTACACAATATTTATATAACTGGCATTTGTCGTGTTGTGATACTCAATCAGTTGATTTGATACAAAGCAGTTTTTCCTTCCCACTGTGCTTGCTCCTGGTAGAACTGTTGGGTCTCTGTAGATCATTTTATAAGGAGTACGGTCTATAAATGCTCTATATGAGTGTCCTGACATCATTTTTGTTATGATTTGGCGTGATACAAATAGAGAAGATCTCCAACCTGAGTATTCCCAGCAGCAGCGAGGTTCCCCACAGCATTGTACTGAATAGCCACCACTTATCAGACTTCACTTTGATGAGCTCGGCGTCGGCAGCCCACGCGATGTGTTCACAGGGGTAGTACAGCTGGTCGGCCACGTTGGTCAGCACCGATATCCAGCGCACACCTGCGTCCTCCTCCTGTGAACGACATGCAAAACTGTGTATTTATGCACCACACCACCCTGTCGTTTAGTTAGTATGTAACGATTTGACAAGAATTATTTTGTTATTTTCTATGTTTACTGTGAGTTTTAACAAACACAACCACTGTCAGAGCTTCATGGGACCTGCAGCTGTTGAGTAATGACAAAAAAATGTAGGGTTCAAGTTCTACTTTCCAAAACAATAAGTGGCCTCATTACAGAAGAATTTCCTGACTGCTTGTCCTAATTTAATTTAAATGTCAAAGATCTTCCTATTACCAAAGTATTCCCCAGAACGACAAACCAAGAATGAAACGACAGAATTGCAATCTACAACTACACTGCTAGATGCCACAGTGGGGCAGTTATTTTGAATTCAGAATAAGGTCTATGACATCCTAACTTAGGTTTCCTAACTTTTTTCATTTAAGATGGTTCTGTAATAGCTAAATTCCTCTCTTTTTCCTAAATGCAGTAAGGAAACATGTTTCTGTAACACCAAGAATTCTAAATTATCATCCTAAACTGAGATAATTTCATACTAGGAAGATGACACCACCCTTGGTCAATCATGTTTCACCCCCCCTTAAACTGAGATGATAAGACCCGAGAGGAGAAGAAGGACGGAGGAGAGTGTGGTCTGTGTGGCTTCAACCCGGCTCCCATCCCAATAGCTGTCGGGGAGTAAGACAACATGGACAGACATCAGAACAGCCTCCAAGCACGTCCGGCAGTGGCTGAGCTGAGCAGAAAACAGCAGCAGACTTTTCCCGAGCCGGTTGGGATGAAACCTCCGCGTCCTTGCCGACCGGAAGAGAGCCTCCAACCAGCTGAGAGGCCATAACAGTACCCCTGATCTGAAAGAGGAGTGAACACCAGGAAGATCTTAGAAGTATGGAGTCAAAGAGAATTACTTTCAAGGATGTAGAAAGATTGGACAATTACCTTACCTTATTTTAAATGCTTATTCTGTTCAATGTGGGTGTTAACTTTCTGATTCCCTGTAAATTGAATTAAAACAAAACACATTTTACTATTTTTATGGTCCCTAGTTTTTTGAAATCCATCCTGTTATGAAATGGTTTCTCCGTTGTGACTTATATCTTTTTAATGTTAATAGATCATTTATGAATGCTTATAGAGGAATTATAAGAAAGTTTCAGCTGCCAGGTTATGAACAGCTTTTATTCATAAGTCATTATTGATTAATAGCTCATTATGTTTCTAAGTTACATTGTTTTGGTAGAAAAACATAAGAATATATTAATATCTAAAACAGATTACTAGGATGTAAAAAAAAAAAAAAAAAGGAGCAAATCGCTCCACAGTTAAAAAGCAGAAACCAGTTTAACATTTTTTGGCATTGAAAAAATAATTTATTATGAAAATATATATATCTGATTCATATCCTCCCAGAACCTATTGACCCCTATTGATTTAACAATAGTAGTATTTTCAACATCATCCTAAAATCATGTCAATACGAAAGGATTATAACATAAATAAAAAAGGAACGATTTTCTGCAGCCAATGTTGTAATGTATTATTTAGCACTTTAGTGCCAGCTTTCTAATAAGGGCCACCAGTTCTTAGGGGATTTAAGGAGTACTTAAAGGTTTTTAATGGTTAATCAATTAATTCCATATGTTGACAACCCACGTTGAATCTATCATGGAACTAAGCACGAGTACTGTACAACTTATCTCTTCCCTGTATATGCTCCAGCAGTCCGGACCAGAGCCTCCACAGACTGCTGCATGTCTGTCTGTCTGTCTGTCTGTCTGTCTGTCTGTCTGTCTGTCTCTGATCAGACACAACCCTGTACGACCAATAAATACAGATCTATAAACATCTCCAGTGTTAACTGTTATTCTGGACCACTTCTCTCAGCTGGACTTTGAACCAGGAACTACCTCAAACAGACTCAGTTAGACGATCACAGATTCAATCGAACTTCTTCTTCTTTCTCTTCTTCTGTTTTTGCTGCCCTCTTCAGGTTGGGCAATATCATTTCATCCTCTACAACAGTGGATGGTGTATTTATTTGAATAAATGCAGTAAAAGTATGATAGATAATAGGGCTTGCTGATTTTCTAGAATATAAACAATACAGATAATTTCTTTAAAAATCAGAATCAGAAATAATTTATTGATCCCCGGGGATTGTGCTCTCACAATGTTAAAGAATAGAAATACTAAGTATATTACAATATTTAACACAATATAAATATAAATGTATATAAAGGCCTACATATAAGTAAAAGTAAAAATAAAAAATAGAAATATAATAAGAGCCTCAGTATGTACCTTATAATATAATATATACAATATATGACATTAGAGACTAAAGTAAATGTATACTACAGTATGTGACCGACTAATAGTAGTGAGTTTTAAAGATTGTAGTATTACAGAAGTTATAAATTATTACCAAGAATTACTGAATAAGCCAGTGTATTGCACCCTAATTAGATTACTGCACATTAACCACCTTCTGGTTCTGATTTTTAAAGAAATTATCTACATTGTTTATATTTTAGAAAATCAGCAAGCACTATTATCTATCATACTTTTACTGCATTTATTGAAATACATACATCAGCCAGTATTGTAGAGATAGATGTGATGTTTTTTGTTTTTTTTTAACCATAGCCCATTCAACCTGACCTTGACCTGAATTTGATTTTGACACCTCGGACAGCAGTATTAGGGGAATGCCTGGGTGCATTGAGGGGAAAAAATTAGTCATTTTTGTCTCCAAAGCCCTGCAAAAAGAAGAAACAACCTGGTGCATTCGAGGGTCACATTAGAGATCATAAGTCTGATACAACAGTTGTAAACCACAACCACTCGCATCTCTCTGGAAACGTCATCTTTAAAGATAAGAACTCTCTATGAATTTAAAGAGGATGTATACTGTGGATATGCATGAACATACGAAGCAGCTGTACATATTACGTAATATGGAGAAATATATTTATGTGTGCAGTCATTTTCTCGCTATGCTAATTATGCTATGCCAATTTTAGTTACATATTTATCCCAAGTGTTTTTTCTTTTCCTGCTGTTTACTTATATTTTACTATTTGAATATTCACTGTTTCCGCAAAGACGCACACTACTCTGCCTCTGATTGGCTAGTGTTCGTTGCCTTAACCATAGAACGTTAAATACGGTTAGAAAAAACATGACCAATCAGAGGCAGAGTTGGGGCAGAATTAGTGAGTAAGAACATTCTACCACCAGCAGTTGGCTACAGTTGAACATTCTATTGCTATAGCAACCGCTGCTGGCAGTTCCGTAACAGTTAGCGCTTAACTGACACTGTTACATCCACCATTTTGTGACCAAATAAATACTGAGAGTCACTCCCCAGATGCCATTGTTGGAGCATTATCTGTACGTAAGCTGTTTCGATTTGTGATTTAGTAGAATTTAGTTTCTCTGTCATCAACTTGCTGCTAACCATGCTAGTCACTAGCAGTCTGAGGCTAATGTTCTGATAATAAAAGGCATTGTTTCTCATCCTGGGGCCCGGAGACTCCCAGGGGTCTTTGAGGCTTTCCCAAGAAAAATGGAGAATATTTTAATTTCACTGTTATTTCTGTAGGAGTAAACAAGTGTTTAGCCTGTGTTATTTGTTTAGGCTCTTGATTATTATCATTTCCGGTTGATGGCACAGGAGTTTGCTTTTACCTTATTTAGCTGTTCACATGGAGGAACTGAGACAAAGAGGATGAGAACAATATTTTATGTTGACCTTTTTCTTTTTTGTTTAATAAACTTTATAAAACCGATCTGGACTTCTGAAATGCGTCACAGTAAAGAGCCCATTTAGTCTCTTAGTGGTATTTTTCATTAATAGACGCTACATTCGCTAGTTTCATTCACTAGAAGTTAGAAGTTTTATGAAAGGATGTACAACAATGAATGTCTATAGGGTTCACACTCTTCACTGTTAATCTTCCAGTCTACAGTACAGAGAGTTAAGGAATAACAACAAAAAAGTTGAGAACCACTGCTAACTGTTCATGTGCAGTTGAGCTGACTGTTGTGTGTTTTGCCTTTGTTAGTTTTACTCTTATGTATGTTTACTTCCTATAAGGAAGTAACATTTGTGTAGTCATACATGAGGAACAATAACCAATTTCTTTATTACCTAATCCTGTTTTTGATATCAAATCTTTTTATGATAATGTAATCAATGGGGATGTAACTCATGATTTGATACAATTCACAATGCTTGGTTCACAATATAATTTTTTTTTAACAAAATGTGATTGAAGACAAGTTATTCCTTTACTTCTCAGACAAAAAATATATAAAAAATTCTTTATCAAATTAAAGAATACTTTTTAAAAAATTTGTAGGTACATTATTCAAAACATTTCATATTTCCAATTCTTTGTAAAGGTGAAACTGAAGCCTTGATACTACTGGCTACCGATACGACTTACGTAGGATGTTGAACAAGCAAAGTCAAGAGATGGTGCCCTCTGCTGTTTAAAAATAGTATCACAATTAATTTTCTCATCTCACCCATTTGAATTTTCACATATTTATATCACAATTTAACTGTCAATATATAATAACTCACTATATATTTACATTGTTTCCAGTAAAAACCTACTTTTTCTGCCTCATTTCCACAGGTCATCATGTTCCTCCTCCACTTTACATAACACTTCCTGTGGTTAAGATATTTTCATTTTTATTAAAAAAAGAAAGAAAAGAGTCAATTCAAACTGAGACACAATTACCAGAAAACAAGTTTATTCATTTATTTTACATTATCTCAGACGTCGAGCAAAACAAAAAGCTACAGTAATAGTGTATTCATTTTCTATACAAGCAGTTTGACAAAGAATGAAATTATGCACGGGGCATGTTCAGTATGAATGTTGTCTGAGTCTGAGTGAGTCTGTATCTTTCTACCGTATATCATTTTAGTTTTATATAAGCTAGTTTGTTTGTGAGCCAGACCGCTGTCAGTTACAACAGAAAGTCTGGACTGACTGGGACTAGTGGAGTCAAATAAAGCAAAAATAGTTATATAGTTTTAAACAGCTTAAGGTTTTTAGTTTTTATATAGTTTGTTTCTTTTGTCTGCGTGTGTGTTCGTGTGGACTTAGTTTGACAAGTTTTAATAATCAGTGTGTGGAGAGTCGTTGTCGTAGATGTCTGAAATACAAAAGGAAAAAAAACAACATTTACTTAAATATAGATTTTAAAGTCAATGTCAGCTGAAATTGAAAGTGGCAGTAGCTAGGTTTGCATGGCATTTATTACAGAACAGGAAGATCCAAAGATAACTCACCACCTGCGTAGTCAACATCGTCATAAATGTCTCCTTCCCTGCAAAGCAAGATGGATATTAAACAAAAAAAAGCATTATATTCAAGCACGAATGAAATGCAAAGATGAGCGCTTTGTTTAGTCTTGAATAAAATGTGTCCATCCAGTACAATATGTAACTTTATCTGTTAATAAAAACTGAAGATTTTTATGTTCTCGTGTATATGTATTATATATTTATCTATCAATTTATTATTATTATTTTTATCTAATTGTGTGCATAAATGACTCATTAATTAAAAACAATCTATATTAAACAATAAAAGTCAAAGATGATACCAATAAAAAAAAAAATTAATCATTATTTGTTTATAATATAAAGAGACTAAAATACGGTAATGCTACTGGTGGCACATATTAAACTGATGAAGATTCACTTACATTGAAAGAAGAAGAGATCTGGACACATAACCAACTGTGAGAGGTGAGACAAAACAAACTTATGTAAAACAGTCCCATTTAATTAGTGAAATACAACTGTTGCTATTTTAATTATTGTTTATTTTATTATCATCTGACAAAAACTAACAATAATTGTAAATTCTCCATGCTGGAAAAAAAGTAATTTTTGGCTGCTTGAAAGGACATTGAATGTTTCCTGCATTAAAACTAAACATTAAAGCTTATATTAAACAGTATTTTTGTTTATATCTTTATTATTTTTTATAACTGATATGTGAGGCCATGATTGGGCTTTCAGAGATCAAGTATTATTTATTACTAATATATTATTACTGTTATAATGTAACGTTATGATTAAAAACAAGACCAATGTGAATCAATTCTCTTCCTCTAGATCAAATAGTCACACACAGAGATGAAACTATAAGCACAAATCCATACATATACATGTTTCCTTTAGTATTATCTGTAAACAGTGTTTATTCATTGAGTAGTTAAAGGTGCAACCGCCAAACTGATGAGTGGTAACACATTTTTACGTGTGTGATATTTTTAGCCTTGCTACTGGCATTACGTATTACCACTTTGGTCAAGATTTAAGTATCTAAAAACTGGGTGAATAGTAAAAGTTACAGATATTCAAGATTAATATCTACTACATGGATTGACACAAAAGACATTCATTGTGCTCAGTGCCTTATGTTGTCTTTGGTCATCCTCTGACTTTTTATAGCGCCACCATGAGGCTGACATTTTTGGTTTTTATTAAAAAATATCTCAACAACTGCAGAACATCAGCATCAGGTGATTTTTTCTCCAATATTCAAGTTGGAAATAATTTTGATAGTGAGAATACTGATGTTAGCATTTAGCTGAAAGTATAACTGTGCAGCCTCACAGAGCTGCATGCATGTAGGGTTAATCACATATTAATGACAATAATGGCTTTCTAACTTTTGTACTTCAATGGAGCAGTGTGCTCTGAATTATTTGAGGAGTTGATCACTCTTGAAACAGGCATGTAGTAAATCGGTGTGTTTAACTCATTGACACTCTGACAGCACATGTGGCTACTTCTGGACACAAACTCATAACCTCCCTGTACACGCACTAAACACCAGATGACCCATACACCCCTATGTCAAGCAACTCTTACTCTTCTTGCAAAGTCAGTCAGCTTGACAAACTGCTCATGTGTCACATGCTGCCAAAAAATAAATAACATACAGTACAATCAAAGAAGTGGAAGAAGGAAGTGAGGTGTTACATACATTTTCCAAACTGGTTGCGACACAGAGCTTTCTTGCTGTTGGTGAGCTCGATCACATCCAGGATTTCTCCCTGAGTCACGTGTAGATCCTTCCCTCCTGGCTTCTTTATGATGCTATTAGGATCCACCATCATGGTGTGCAGCACCCTGAGAGGCCCTTCATACTGGGAAGCAACAGTTATATTATATAGTTATTATATTTCTTATTTTATATTATATGCATCAAGTCTGCTGCCTACCAGCTAAATCACAGGTAGTGATTTTCGACACAGACCTAGTTTGTAAATGCTGGATAGTTTTTGTGTGATTGGATGTACTAACAGGCGAGGAGACAGAACTGGGTTGTGCTTCTACAGAATAATCAGGTCAATAAAGCTCAACATAGCTGATACTGATCAGTTTAAAAAATGTTTTAATTGGCACAGAGACCGATCTGGGGACATTCCTAGTCTGTACTTTTGTATGCTTTCACTCTGGCAGCAGTGTAAGGGGAGGCATTTTCCATAAGAGAGATGTAAACATCTCAAAACTGGGGCTCTGGCAGGGACTTTGCTGTTTTTTAGTGACTGAAATACTGCGGCAGGTGCTGTATATGGATCACAAGTGCCCCAAACTTGCAGTTTGTTCACATATCTGTGTTTTTCTTCTTTTGAGAGGTGATATAAATATTCATGGCTTGAAATAAATAGATAATTCAAATGCCTGTTTTGCTGTTGTTTTGCCCTCCAGGGCTCCAGGCTCACGTGACTGAAAACTATGAATAATAAACATAGAATATGAACATTTTCCTTTCACTGCTATGCTGATGACATTCTGCTTTATCTACCACTAAAACCAAATATTCTGGTGTGAATGTGTGAAAACTATTTACCTTAAATTTCTTTTTAAGATCCTTCATCACTTTGGGATCTATGCTGTTAAAAGATATGATGACGAACAGTTAATCAAAAAGCATACGTATGCATTTATCACCAACACATTTTATTCCACAGATTAACAAAATATTAATTAATAAGGTAATGTTCCTATTTGAACATTACCTCATCTGGTCTCGTCACTTATCAGATCTACATGAATAAAGCTTTACATGACGTTGATAATGGAGTTGGACTGAGTTGTCAATATGTCAAACTGTTGTTTCCTGTTCCTTTTCAGTGGGCAAGCTGTGAATAGATACCTGATTTCAGGCGGCGGTGGGGGGAAATCCTCAGTTAATGGTTGCACGTCATCATAGTCATCTAAAGAGAAAACAAAAAGTACAGTCAAACTGAAACTAAAACAATCTTTTCATCTTCTTAAGAAAAAAACGAATAAAGTGGAACCAACATGACTCCCACACACACACACACTCATGCATGTTATTTCAAGGAAAATAAAGTTGTTCATGTTAATTTTGAATTTAGTGTATGCTCATGATCCCTGTTGTGAATCCTCTGCTTTCAACAAAAGAAGAACGTAAACCAAATAATCTTTATGTTGAACAACGATAAAGTTAAATAAAAACTGAGATTTTACCTGGTATGTGCCAGTAATGTTTATGCTTTATGTTGTGTTGTCACTTACCATCATCTTCAAGCATGCTGCAGATTAGAGGAAACGCAACATGTTAGTTGGAACAGACGTGGGTGAAAGTGAAAAATCAATGCAACAAAACAATTACATGAATTTACAGGTAGGACTACAGAGTCACTAATGACTGAGAAATTACTTTAAAACCTTTAGGAAAAGTTGGTCGAAAAGAAATTTTTCTCACAATATCACAAAAGTTCAGTACAGGATTAACATGATCTACTGCACCTGTCTCTGTTATTTGACTGTATGTTTAACATCAGTGGGGGGTCTGGAGGTGGTGGAGGCAACGATGATAAGTCTGTTTTTCTGGACTGGAGAACTTTGCGCTTCACTGCCTCATAGTCAATATCCACACACGTGTTACTGATGTATCCGTCTGCAAGGTAACACAACATCAAGTGGTCAGTGTGTAAGTCAACACAGAAACACTGAATACAAAGTCTGATATTCAATATTATTACCGGGTGTCTATATAAAACCACATCAAATAATTTAAATTTTTAGTTATCTTGACTTTCAATTCTCGTGTCTAAGTTAATGGAAAGGAAAGTAGTCATGAAATATGTCACAGAATACGGTTTTACTCAAGATTTTTACTTATTTTTTTAAGATGTTTCATTCTTATGAATTAGATCTACTACGAACCAGTATCACTGTTTAGATCAATCAAACTAAAATAGTGTTGAGTTTTTATCATGTGATTTAAATATATGTTGTCCACGTTGTTCTCTGCTACAGATTAGTGATAATACAAATGAAGCTTGAGCTTTTTTTTTGTCTACAACAACAATCAACATATATAATTCAGTAAATGGTTAAGTAATCAGACAGCCAGATATTGATGTGCTTGTCCCCACTTTTTTGAATCAGTAATATATCTGAAACACTTGTTGTTCACCAAGCCAAGCTAATGTGCAATACATAAAAAGTACAATATTTATATATACAGTATACTTTTATAGCATTGGCACATGAGGCACTTATTTCTTAGTTTCAGTTGACAGCTTTATCACATAAATCAATGCGGAGGATATTATAACTTAAAGTAACCATAGCAACACAAATGTCATGCTAAATTGCCAGCTAGCCTACTGGAGTGACTTTAAACAAGCTTTAAACATGTGTAAATACTTTACACAGCCTCACTTTCCCAGTAGAGAAAATGCTACTCAGCATTGCTTAATGGCATTCTTCATGATCTTCAACCTGTTTACTATTTTCTTCTATTGGGAGATCTTGCGTCCTGCAAGTTCTTGCATATTTTACAGTACTAGAAAGGTTAAACAAACACGGGAGGAATTATGCAATAAGACAGAGGTTGAGAGATTGAAAGAGATAAGACCACCATTGTTTTGGTTTCACAGATAAAGTTGAGTATCATCTGTGTAACATGATACATCATATCTTATATACATAATACAATTATTGCCCTGGCAGGACTACAGCTCTTTGAGGAAGCAAGTAGCAGACAAAATGTCTTCAATCTGAAGATATAAACTAAAATTGGTCCTTAGTACAAGAGCACACACAGACCTAATAATAATGATGCAATTATTACAATGCCGAGTATTCAAGAAAAATTCCAACTTATAAATATGCCAACGTTTTCCTAACTCTTCCAACAAAGCCAAGTGTAACAAAAATAGTGCGACCCTATGCCTACCACAAACACACACAAACACACATATATTTTGTTCTATATTCTGCTGGATATTTACACTGAGCTACACAGGACCACCAGCCTGTAATCCACAAACTCGCTTGTCACCATTGAAAGTATCAATAACTCAATATGAAAGGCAAAAGTAGTGTTCCAGTTGTCTTGTTTTCCTTTACCCGCGTGCCCATAGCACTGGATGGTGTGGAAGCTGCGTTGTGTCCAAATACGTGAAAAGTTATTTCTTCCATGTTAAATGGGTTCCTGGTAAGAACTGGCCCTAGGTGATGGTGGGTAAACGGGTAAAATGCTGTGTGAACGCTAACAAACAAAGAAGCAAAGATGCAAACAGGAGCAGGAGAGACAAGTAGATGGAGGGTCCACAAAAAGAGAACTTGAGTATAGAGGAAAGAATTTCAGTGAGGAAAACAAGATTTAGGGAAATGTTTCCTCCAAGTAGATTCACACCTTACGAAACAGGAATTGCATATTTGCAAGATTAGAGAGATTATCTTAGTTAGTCATTATGACACCATTTAAGGGTCATCCAGCCTTAATATTTTTTAAACAGACACTTGAAGAACAAGTTTAAAAGGCAACAGATAAAGAATATTGATAGTCCTACGAAACATTAAAAAAGGACAATTCTAGTCTATTTAATCAAGTTTAGTTTTAGTTTGATAACTCCTTGGTCTGAACTCGAATCATAATAGATTGAAAGGGGAACACGCATGTTATTGTTAAAACCGATCAATTACTGGAAATTTCAATTTCTTGGAAAACATTGGTGCTTAGAGTGCCGCCATACACCACCCATTTTAGAATCCATTCATTTCTGTTTTTTTGGGTGAACTCTAACTTCATTTTCTGTCCTGTAAATTTAGTTGGCAAGGGGTATGATGTTCAGGATAACAGAAGAATGCAGCCACATAGAGAAAGGGCCATTGTGTTGGCAGATTGTTACATGGGTGCGGGTTCTCGCAGAGACTTTGCAATGTGTGTCATAAGGTGTCGCTGGGTTGTTCCATACGCGCCAGCCGCGGCGTGGGCTGCGACCGGTTGAGACATGTAACAAGCGTGTGCGGCGAGTGCAACAGCCAAAAAAGACGCCTCGCCGGTCGGAAACAAGCAACCCCGCAGAGAAGGTGCGCGGGGCCTGCGTATGAAGATCGAAACTGAGTCGGCGCTGGCTGCCTATAGAGAGCGTTCTGTAGAGCTGTGTTCGGAGAATGGAATGTTCAGAGTGCATGGCGAGTGGCTTGCTGCCGGTGTGTGGTGTCTGAATGAGTGAGGTACCCCTGGCCGCTGTCGCGTGTAAGAACTTGAAGTGTCTCGGGTCTTGTTGTGTTCGTGTGATCGAATAATACACATTTTATTGGTTCCTCACCTGAAAGTTCTTCCTCAACTCATTTTCTTTTTTCTGACGCTCCATCTGATCTTTCTTCTCCTGCTCCTGTTGCCTCTTTGCTTCTTTTTTGTTTATCTTCTCAGCATTTACCCGGTTTACCTCCACCTGGTCCCTTTATAGGAACAATTAACATGAAAAATTACTTTTCACTTATTTAGACAGTTCTTCACATCACAGCATAACAAGGTTCTAGCATTGCTGTGCTTTGAGCTAAATGGTAACATTAGTATGCTTAAATGCTGACAATGTTAATGTTCTGATGTTTAGCAGGTATAATGTTCACCACGTTCGACATCTTAGTTAGCTTACGAATATTATCTATTTTGCACTTCACACAAAGTCCAGCTGAGGCTGATGAGAATGTTATATATATATATATATATAAATAAAAATATAAATTCATTTTATATATATGTCATTACAATTCATCCTTACGTGGAACAGAAATGTGTGTACCAAAATTAATTGAGACGCTTTACTCAAATCTGCAAATGTGAACCTCATTGTGGCGTTCAGAGGATCACCAAAGTCAGTAGGTTTAATTACATTGCGAGTATGAATGTCCAGGGTTGGGAGGGTTACTTTAAAGATGTAATCCAGTATAGTTACTAATGAATTGTTTTGTTATCCAAGTATCACAACATAAAAGTAATGTAACTTGATAGATTTCTGTTACTTTTGGATTATGTCAACAACAAATATGTAAATAAAAACAAGAGAAAAGAAATATCAATAAGAAGTATTTATGCAAATGTATTGTGTAAGACAACAGAACAATGTAACCTTTGAAAAGAAAATGGAAACAGAAAAAAAGGAAAATGGAAAGATTTTTAGCATCAACAATGTGCCCTATACTCAGAAAAAAACTCCTGTTAACTGTAATGTGAATATGTCTTTTTTCTGTAATGGATTACAGTTACTTGTTTTTGTATCTTGTACTAAATTGAATCCATCCAACTCAACGACAAACTTCCCATCCATGTTATTTTCTCATACATTGCTCATCCATTGCTTTGCCTCTCTGTAAAATGGTGCATATTAGTAGTTAAATAAAAAAAAATCCACCAATGATACATGAGTGCCCTACGTACCTCACAGTAAACTGTTGTACCAACTGTTGCCTATAAACTTCACCACCTTTCACTTTTTCAGTTTCTTTCAATCTGCCCACAGTTCAACAGTCCCACCCCACCCCACGTGTTTTTTCACACTATCCTGCTCTAACAGGAAATATGTTGATTCACACACACAACTTATAACTGTAAAGAAATATCATTACACACTTAATGCTTCACAGAGACATTTTGGATAAATTTTAAGCACTTTCTGTTAAATGCAAACAAACAAACAAACAAACAAACAAACAAACAAAAACTGTAATTGAGGAAACTTTTTAGTAGTAGTAGCTGCTGTAATGGTTGTTGGCGTACAGTAGCTGCTTCAGGTTTACCCGCAGAATGGTGCAAAAATAACAGTAGCAGTATAAGAAATAATAGAAACACATTATGTTCATGCAGCTGCAGCCACTTTCTACTATTAGCCCTCTACATATAATACAGACCCAATGGTTTAATGTTTGAGGCAGAAAGTTCATACTTACTCATCAATAGCCTCATACACGTCATCGTCGTCCTACAAGAGAAAAGGTTTTATTTGCAAGAGCAAAGAAAAACATTCTTGTACAGTAAATTAATACATTAAAGTGGGAGAAAATGAAATTATCATGAGAAGAGCCACCTGGTTTTGAATTCTTAAAAAGGGTGGCACTCTGACTTTACAGTAATTTAAATTTTAGTTTCAGTTTTCTGTTCTTACCCCGTCCATACACTGTGAACTGTTGTCACTCAGGGACTCTGTGAATCCACAAAACAGACACAAAGACAAAGACATAAGAACACTGTCTTCCATCCTCTAACAAATGCTTGATACAAATTACAAGCCATAACTCACTTCACTTAGTTACTTAAAATGTGTCAGAATAACAAAATGCACCAATAAACAAGCTGCAATTGTTACCATTCTTCTCAAAGCTTGCAATGTCATCATAGGTGTCCTGGTCCTGATCATCAAAGTCCCTGCAGTCAGTAAACAAACATGTTAATTATTCAGCAATTACTATTACTGAAGAACTATTATACTATTATGCTGTTGTACGTTAGTAATTAGGAGACAGTGTTACATTTACCCAAAAATATCAGTGTCTACCTGACTCCTTTGGTCTACTTTCATTTTACTCTTTTATCTTCTGAATTGTTGAAATGGTAAAGTTACTAGAACTAGAAATAGAAATAACAGATTTGAAATATGGTAAAACAAGTTGGTTACATATGTAGTTGGTATATGCTGACCTATCAATACCCTTAAGGTAATAAGGTCAACTTGTTGGCCAACAGTTACTGATTTACACATCCAGCAGTTACAGAGCAACATTATTATTCACTGAAGTTGTGTAAGTCCAGCATTTACTCTCTTTTAGAACTGTTTTTGGTTTCTACCAACTAAGATTATTTGTAATGACCTTCATTAGATAGCTGAAAGTAAAGTGTCTCAGGTAACTATAAATACGTATATATATAGAGTGAGATGACGTGCGGTGAAGGTCTCTGGTCTCAAACCAGTAACATCATGGCTAAGTGACATATATCACCTGAACGCTGCAAAAGAGCTCTTCATACTATTTTCAAAAACTTGTTAAAGTCTCCTTAAAGTGCTTTACATTTATATATTCAGCTCATGATTGTTGCTGATTCAAAATAAATGTAAATCCTCAAACTATTTCCTGTCTGCCATGTTAACTGTATGATGATAGATGTGCTGGAAATACGAATCTGATTTCATTGTGACATTCTCAAATGCCTTTATTATTGCTGATTGTGTATTTAAAGATGTGAAATAGATGTAATATGCTGTAATAACACCAGCATTGTGTCAGCGAGCTAAATACTCACACGGAGGCCACTTGGCGTGGAAGCCTGCTTGGTTTGTTGGATCGTTGTGGCGGTTTCGGAGGACTGATTACTGAGGGTAAAGACATCTTTCTGCCTGCTAAACCTGGTGAACCTGCTGGGAGAACTAGAGAGAACGTCTTTATGTGAATACATTTACGGCAAAATGAGGCAGAGACAACCAGCCTGCACCTACTCTGTTAAATGGACAGTTAACAAAAATTAATGATGAATACGCTGAAACTTTAGCTTTTTCTTCAATAGGCATATTTGTTTGAGCTTTACTGCTGGTAATTACCACATTTCCACACAATGATGAAGCACATTGTGGTTAATTGCTTGTTTGAAGTAATGCTTTGACACAAGACTTAAAAGAAATTTAATCAATTAATACTAATGTTTTATAGAAGACATCCAATTTCCAATTTAATTTATTTTTTTGAATATACATTATTACTTTGAATTCATTTGACATAGACAAATCAAATATATAATGGGAACATGCCTCATCTCATTGGCCCTTTTCACTGCAGACATTTTAGCAGAAAAAGCTTAAGTGGTACTAATACTAACATTAAGGATGGACCCTGAAACTGAAGCAGCTAAATGGAATTTGGCCATCATTAATATACTAATAACACCTATGTTTGTCCTCACTCTGAGATAGAAGACATGAGCAGGGCAGGAAATTAACTAGTTTGTCCTTGTACTATATTGATTCATCTTTTATAAATGCAGTCACTGTTTGCCAGGTTAGTTATTTTTAAACAGAAGAGTTAGGGTTAACCTTTTCTAAACATTAAGCCAGAGAAATATAAGCATAGAGATTCCAGTTAGACAGCAGGAATGTCTAGATTGTCTTCCTTTATTAGTTGAGTCCTACATAATTACAAATCTGTGAGTGAATAAGCCTGAGAGACTTACCGTCCCGCTTTCTTGGACCAGGAAGAGCAGGTACTCGGCTGAACCTCTTAAATGGCTCCAGGTTGACATTGGGAGGCCGTTTGGGTTTCAAAGGCAGGGGTCCTTCAGGGGGTAGGGGCTTTCTCAGCGGGGTCACGTCCTCTGCGCTCCTCTGTCGGGGTTGCGGTCGAAATGGTAGAGGGGCGGAGGCTGGAGTTGGTGCAGGGGACTGACCTAGAGCTGGACTCAGGGATGGTTTGATGCCTAGAGGCTTCTGGTGCCGCAGCATCATGTTCTGCAGCATCTCCCCGGTCTGCTTTATCTTGGTGGCGTCTACCGGCGGGATGGATGTTTTGACTCCATGATTGGGAGGCGGTCGAGGGAAAGAACCAGGTCTGGGGGGGATTGGGGCTGCCATTGGTTCGGCCCTCGGGATCCTCATCAGGCCTGGACCAGCCATCGGAGGAGGAGGAACCGTAGGAGACAGTCTGTGATGAGCCAGATTGTTCTCGGTCACTGGCAGGACTGCCCTCCCAAACCCAGGTCGTGGAGATTTCGGGGAGCCGCTGTCCCGGCTGCTGGTGTCCGAGGTGCTGGTCTTATTGTTGAACTTGGCCCTCAGAGCCTTGACATCAACGCTCTCCCCCTGATGAAAACACAGGAGCTCAAACTCAACTGCAGCAGCTCTGTTTCTGAAGCAGGAAGTTAGCAGCACAGCAGGGCATACCCCCCACGCACACAAACACACACTGCTTGTCAAACCCTCTGCTATCTTTACAAAGTGACAATGCACCGTGCAACAACACAGTTTCCTGGTTGCTTTGATCTTCACAGCACTGATAAGTCTCCTCTAACCCCATGCAGTGAGCAAAACTGCAGGCAGCAATGAGTAATTATAAATCCTCATGGCTGAGATTGCGATCATTATAAAAAATATATCATTACTAATGATACACTGAAATCTTATTTCTTATCTGTTTAAGTTACTTTCCAAAACAAATCTAGTCGATACTTCAACTTAGTGCTCTCTTTTTCCAAATTTAGAGAGTCTTTACTTCGCTAAGTCTGTGGCTTTAAAAACTGCAGCTGCTGACTGAATAAAAAGAACTGAAACACATTTTATAGTGACGCTGACCAACAACTTTTACTTCTAAGTTCAGCGCCTGTACTCATTCAGCGTATAAGATCTGTGTATCTAAACACTGTCACTGTGTAGAGTTTAATGAAGAGACGGCTCCACGGCCATGTGGGCTGTAACATCGTACAGTAGGATGTTGTAACAATGTGGAAGCAGTTAATGAGATTCCTGATTTTGATTTTTGGATTTTTAAAGGGTAGTTACGTCTCCAGAGGTTTTTCTTTGTATGTGGAGGTTGTCTTTGTTGTATCCCTTGTATTTTGGTTGTTTAGGGTCACCCTGACAATAACATGCAAACCAAAGCTCATAAAAACAGTCACATGACTTGGTGATCTGCTGTTATTGTTCCTGTGTTCTGCTTTTACTGTAGTTAACGTAGCTTACGACTGATTTTAAACTGACTTTAGGCTCTAGGTTTACACCTGGCCACCGACTACAGACGGAAACTCAGTCCCTAAGAAATATATAAATAAACTCAACTTTATAGGAAGGACTTCGGTATACTGCCATGATTTGATATTCTGGATTTTATGTGTATTTCTATGCATCAGTGAAGTACCTTGTAACTCTGATTACTTAATATCTTAATGACATTTACTTTACTTTTGCAACACGAATGATCTGCATTTGGCGGGACCGTTATCTGTATTAAACTGGATGTTTAGAAGTAATTTCCTGTGTGATTTCTCACACTAAACTGCACCACGTCCTCTAAAAGCACAAGACCAGTGTTAGTTATTATTAGGTAAAATCAAATGCAACACAACAGCTCAGCCATGAATTCTACCTTTGCAAAGATAATAATGTTCAGAAAGTTTGAAGTAAAGTTTATTGTTCAGCTCTGCATTATAATGAGAGGTGTTTCCTATTTTTTCCTCAACTCATTTGCAAACTCACCACTAACTATGATCTCAATAATAAACATTATATTTTATATATAGTTATTTTACATATAGTTAAAGCCCTTAATGAAACTCCAGTTTTCTGTTGATTCTTGCAGCCCTTGTGGACAAGAGCTTCCACCAAAGGGAAACACTACTGATTGAATCTGACCTGGTGGCAGACATTAACATGACTACATAGAATAGTTCATCTTCTTGCTGATGGTCGTGTTTGTTCATGTAGATTGTAATAATTTTAAATGAACACCTCTCGGAAGCTGTGGCAGAGCTGTTGCAATAAATTGTACATGTGTACCTAATAAAGTGGCCAGAGAGTGTAAATTAATTAATTTAAAAAAAAAAAACATGTTTAGTGTGGAGGTAGGTCTGGAAGGTGAACGGCAGTGTTTTCCCCAGTGAAGCTGCTCAGTGCCCGGTAGATCAGACTGTGCCTGCAGCTTCCAGGTGTGAACATGATCAGAGATCCCTGCTCTTAGTAGAGCTTCCCACAATAAATAAAGACGAAGAGTAAAAATATTTCCTATTGTTAGTGTCAACATGTGTTTCAGCTATCATGTCATCATATCATCAATGACTGAAGCTTTTACGTGTCTCTGTAAACATTATATGGGGATGTTGTCATTCTCACCAACACAAATAAACCAAACTAGAAGAGGGAAGTGACAGAAACATTTCAAAATAGCCACATTAGTTCACAATAACAGGTGGAGTCACAAGCAAGAACATGAAACGTGATGTGAATAAAAACAAATTCTGATGTGAACGAACACGTCTTGTGCTCTGTTATGTGGACAAAATGAAAACATGATGACAAAAAGAATCACTCTATCTTTTTGTTTGAACGCCTAAAGTCGTAATAGAGAGGGTGGGAAGAAGAGCAGGAAGTGCTCACAACCACACACCTCTGTACCTCAGCCAGCATCCTGCGGCCGTTACCATAGAGACGCCCTCCGCTGTAACCCCTGCACCAATAAGCTGCAAGCTGTGCTCGCAGTCGTCTCTCTTATTACAAGGAAGAAAGGAAACAGACAATCTTTTTTTTTTTTCTGTGTCCACACCACAAAATGCACTCGCACACACGGGGCTCTACTTTCAGCCAGCCTGTCAGTCTGCACAAGAAACCGTGAGCGTGACTGTGTGTCGCATCCTTTGGCGCTGACACATAATCGCAGATGGTCTGGCAGTCTGACAGACTGCAGGTGTGCTGCAGATACATTTACGACTCAGTGATAAAACTTATACTGAAGGACTGAAGAAAGACTGTCAAATAAAATATGGCAGAAAATATGATTGATTACAGTGATTACTTATTCTCTACTTTATTCTGTACTTTTTATTTTCTGCTGTGTGAAACATTTTCTGGGATATTGATATTCTGTTGAAATCTGCTCTGCTTGTCAGACAACTGTGAAGCATTTTGAATTGCACTAACCTGTTTGATTGAATATATAGGTTCTTATTATATTTCTATTTCCTTTTTTTATTCTATTTTTACTTATATGTATTATACCTATATATACATTTCTGTTCTATATATTGTGTTAGATATTGTAATATAAGTATTATTTCTATTCTTTAATACTGTGTGAGAAGAACAACTGTAACAAATTTCCCCCTGGGGATCAATAAAGTATTTCTGATTCTGATTCAGGTAGTGTTTTATCACATATTTGGCACCAGCCAGTCTCTGTGACATATGATGTAGTTGATTAACTTAAATTTAATTGTTTAACTGTTTTAGCTTAAACTGAACTGCTGAAATTACAATAATCAGTTGCCTTTTTGTTGTCTTTTTACATCTTATGGAGAAAAACCTGGATTCTTTACAATTTAAAGACTAGATTGACCTTTTACTACATAAACAAGTATAAAAACACAGTTAAAGTGTCTAATTCAGCAGGAATTAGTAAGATAGAACAGCTGAAGTAACACATAACATGATTATGCTGTAAATCATTAACCAGTGACAGCGGTGTGTAATAGAGCTTTCTTTCATCAGCAGCAGCATAGACATTTCTTTTTTTTCAAAATCCAAAACCAACTTCCCCTTTTACTGGGAAATATATGTAATAACGGCAGGGAACAACTGCAGCTTAACACGTCAACATTTTACGGGGTTTACCAGAAGGTTAGGCTGTGTTGTTTCGAAATGTCAGATCATGCAATCGCAGGATTTTAAACCAGCTTAAAAAGTCTTAAATTAAAACTGTACTTTGTTACATGACAGAAGGAAACTGAGGTTTAACCCACAATGAAACATTAAAATCTGCTGATGGTCTTTATAAAACAGTCGGGGGTATTCATAGACTTCTTGATGGTCAGGAGGAAATGGACAGACGTTTACAGCCAACACATGAAGAAAGGTGTGAAAGGTGCTGTGGTGGAGTTAGTAAGCACTCACATTGATAAGTTATTAAAAATAAAAACCTTATAAATAACATTGTAAATAACAATTTCTTACCATATTTGTCTTTAGTGGTGGTTTTAGTGATGTGTAAAGTGCTTCATGTCCAGCTGTGAATCAGTATCCAGGCTGATGCTGCTGTACAGACAGAGCTACATGACACTAAACTTAAACAGCAAATGAGGAAATGCTCTGTAATTCAGCGTGGGCAACAGGGACTGACAGTGACATAACGTGGGGTTAAACAGTAGAGAAACATTAACATGCTGCCACCCAGTTTGTTTCATTCCTTCTTGAACAGTAAGTTTTCAAATTTTTTCTATTATGTGTTTGAAAATGTATGTATGTATTTTATTCCAAAAAAGGGGGCAGCATGAGGACATTTGAAGGAAAGTTTCTTTTGTCTTTCTGGCAGCATGTTTTTAAAAAGTTAAAAGAAGCAGAGAAAGAAACAAAACAGAATGACATAACTATATAACTATATGAAGAAGATATATACTTCATTAATCCCCTATTGGGGAAATT